ATCGTATATACGTATCGTATGTACGTGTCGTATGTATGAGTCATACCCACGGTCTGATATCCTATGGACAACACAAACAAACAATTTATATTAAATCCACTTCCTTCAACTTGACAAACAAGTTGGAAAAAACTGAGACTGGAAATCTTGTCTCTGTGAGAACTATGATTGAGTCCATGAACACTGTCCAGAACCTGTTCGAATGGTACTTAAAGTGCATAGACCTTCCTCTATCACCAGATAAAAACAGAAATGTCTCATGCAATCCCACTGATGGAACGTACACAAGAGAATGTGAGGTCTATGTTGACAAAATGGAGAAATTCTTGGCCATTTATGTGTGTGACACAGCCCTCTGGAAGTTTGTGGCCAAAGGCACTGTTGAGTAAACAATGTAACAAAATAGATGGGATTTGCTTTCCAAATGTGATGTTAAGCTGTTGTTGGGCACCGTTGATTCCAAAAAGCTCATCCCATCTGAGGACATGACCGGCCATTACCTCAACTCCAAATCTCTGTTTCTGAATCCTAGTATGGGTTGTTAGCTTTGTTCCTTGTGGCAAAACTTTAAATTCAACTGATGGCATTAAGGCATTCACATCCCTTTCCCTTGAACACTGTCATGAATCTCTGTTTACCTATGACAAATTCTACACGTTCTTTCTTCCCATGCTACATGAGTGCAGCTTCATTGTTCCTTCAAGAAAGGTTCCAGAAATCTTAATGGGTACAGTTTGCAAATTTGGTCATGCTAATGTAGCCTATGCAAAAATAGTGTTTCTGTGCAAGCACCAAATTCTATGACATAGAAATTCTGCACACAGCCAACCCCCAGGTTTATCTTTCCACCACATCACCAGAGCCACATGGCAATTTTGAGTTATCTGTCCCCAGAATTTATGGGGATGTCTTGCAGTTACTGTCCCAGTGGACCATTGACCAGTTTGCTTATAACCAAGGAGGATTGCACCCCCCACTTAATGGTGTTGATCAAATAGCTGGGCTTATTGACCATGGTTGCTTGTTTGATCCCAATGCAGAGATTGACAGGAAAAGGGATCAATTCTGCTGTTTGTAGGACATCAGATTGTGGGTATGATTCATATATATAATACATACATATGAAATATATCTATTATGCATACACACTCGACATTCAAAACTCATTCAATCCTTTGGATCCACACAATTGATTTGACTTGTAATACTACGCGTAAAATAACAATTGAAACTACATTAATGGAGGCATTAGGAACGTTAATTTAACATTGCGAATGTTTGATTTAACGTACAGACTGTTAATTTAACGTACGGAATGTTAAATTTTTCACCTAGGCCTACATAGATCCTAGTATTATCCACATTCTTCATTCAGTCTTGCACGTGCCTAAAAAAGGAAGAAGGGATCTAAAAAAGAGGAAGAAGAGGACGCCTCCCCTGCTAGTAATATTCAGACTGTTAAGCAAATATTCAGACTGTTAAGCAATGCATTCAGGACGTTAAATTGAAGCAAAAAACACAGTACTCATTTCTATGCAGCCTATGCTGGCAACATTCAGAATGTTAAATTAACATTCCCAATGCCTCAATTAACGTGGTTTCAATTGTTATTTTACGCGTAGTAATCTTCGGTGTTTGTTTACTGCCTTTTTGCCCTGTAGGACGTGGTACCGGTAGGGTTTTTAGTTAACGCATTTTTTACTTCGATTAAACTCGTACCTCCGCACGTACGTACCACCAGGGGTCATAAATTTAGAGGGGTGCCCATCAATTCGAAAAATCATATTCCATCCTCGGTCCCAAAATTAAAAAATCAGCTCAAGGAATTTTTATAATTCTAATTTTTACTGCATAATACTAGTAAA